TAAGCGATTGTGGGCGTTAAAGGGGGCGTGGCACCTTTTTGAAACAAACTTGCGCTGCGTAGGAACTCCTAGAATCTGCATGCAAAATGCCAATATTCTAGCTTTTATAGTTTCCGAGATCTCAGCGTTCATACGGACGGACAGACAGACGGACAGACGGACATGGCTATATCGACTCGGCTAGTGACCCTGATCAAGAATATATATACTTTATAGGGTCGGAAACGCTTCCTTCTAGCTGTTACATACTTTTGCACGAATACAATATACCCTTTTACTCTACGAGTAACGGGTATAAAGATATACAGTTAAAATAAATGAGAATAACAAATATATTCCAAAGAAAGATTGGGATGAGACCTGTGAGAGACTTTTCAGACTTAGAAATGCTAGCAGACAAAAATATTTCAAAACCAAACTGATATCAGATGCAAAAATGTTCTTTGAAAATAACAAAAAACGTAATAACTATTGTTGTAAGGTAAGAAAGGAGAATATGAATAAATAAGCAGATGAATTATCAAACCCAAAGTCAATTAAAGAAATGTGGCAAACTATTAAATCCTTAAAATCTTACAAACAAATTAAACCCACTAACAGACAATTTAGCGATTCTGATCACATTGCTTTCCTTCATCAGATTTCCTCAGTTCCAGACACTGCTGATTTTTCCTCTTTTGACCTTCAAACCATAAATAGAATGTATTTTTCTGCATCTGACTAAATTTTTAAAAACGCCTAACCCCAATTCTGCAAAGGGTCTAGACAACATTTCCTACAACAAACTTCTCTCCTTACCACCTGACGAAATTAAAAATTTGGTATATATGATTAATGTAATTTTTATACCCTTGCAGAGGGTATTATAATTTTGGTCAAAAGTGTGCAACGCAGTGAAGGAGACATCTCCGACCCTATAAAGTATATATATTCTTGATCAGGATCACCTCCTGAGTTGATATAGCCATGTCCGTCTGTCCGTCTGTCCGTCTGTCCGTCTGTCTGTCCGTCTGTCTGTCCGTCTGTCTGTTTCTACGCGAACTAGTCTCTCAGTTTTAAAGATATCGAATTGAAACTTTGCACACACCCTTCTTTCCTTTGCACGCAGTATATAAGTCGGAACGGCCGAGATCGGCCGACTATATCCTATAGCTGCCATATAACTGATTGATCGGAAATGCCATAACTTTGCTGTTTGTAAAGTTAGGAAGTTGGGATTTTCTATGCGTGTTATATTTGGCCAATCAATCCGACCTACCAAATTTCACAAGGATCGGCCGACTATATCCTATAGCTGCCATATAACTGATTGATCGGAAATGCCATAACTTTGGTGTTTGTAAAGTTAGGAAGCTGGGACAGACGGACAGACGGACAGACGGACAGACGGACAGACGGACAGACGGACATGGCTATATCAACTCAGGAGGTGATCCTGATCAAGAATATATATACTTTATAGGGTCGGAGATGTCTCCTTCACTGCGTTGCACACTTTTGACTAAAATTATAATACCCTCTGCAAGGGTATAACAACTGTTAATTACTTGTCTTGGCAAGGTAGTTGAAAATATCTTTTAAAAGCTCTTTCCCGCAAATACGATTTTTGAATTTTAACTGCTTGTCAACAAACCCAGCTAATTGACAGTACAACCGTAGCACGCTTAAAACTGATGAACTGTCAAAATTTTGGTCACACGGGAAAGATTAAAGTTTTTACGCTAGCGTAATCGTTTGTCGATCTGGATACTAGGCTATAAGAATGAAGGGTATTTTTACAAACGAGCAGGTCGGTTCATAAACTTGAATTTAAAATACATTTTTCGACGCAATGTACAGCATCGCTTTCTTTAAAAAAATTTGATAAATTGAATGGTGGTATGTTGGATTTAGGATTTAGGTATAACATAAATTTATAAAATAACTAGCTGTACCCGGCGCGACTTCGTTCGCTTAAAATTAGTTTTGAGTACGGTTGTCAAGACTTTCCTATTTCCACACCTCCCCTGAGGTAGAGAAATTGGCGCGTTTTTTTTAATGTGGTATCTTCAATTAGACCTATTCCACTGAAACTTTCTAGGTTTAATAATGTTAATTAATATGATTACTTTAAAACCTCTGTGTAAACAACATTTTTAGAAGATCCTTCAGGAGCGAGAATAATAAGGCTACTGGCAGAGCTAACTCTAGAGCATGCGACATAAAATTGTCCATGAGAGAAGCAATCTTCTCTAAGATCTAGTCCAGCCAGCTTCAAAGTCTGCCCCTGCGATTTATTTATAGTTATTGCAAAGCAAACTTTTAGAGGGAATTGTAGCCTTTTAAACTTAAACGGCAGACTGGATGGTATTAATGGGATCCTGGGTATAAACACTGTTTCCCCCTTCGCGCACCCCGTAAATACTGTTGCTTCGATTACATTCTTATGAAGACCTTTTATCTGCAATCGTGTCCCATTGCATAACTTTGGGGGACTTAAATTTCGCAATAACATTACGGGTGCTCCAATCCTAAGAGACAGATTATGCTGAGGAATTCCTGGAGGATTCAAAGAATTTAAAAATTCAACAGGGTAATGAACAGCATTATCAGCATCAGGAACAGAGTCGACCGATTTATAGGAGACTTCTAAACCATCAAATGAGTTTAGCAATAAATTATTAATAGTGGTTGCTCTTTCATTTTTCGTTGTCAAAATGGCGCGCTCAGATAGCCAATCTAAGCTTTTACATGATATGTTGGAAATGTCAGGAAATATTTTGGATGTAAGGTCTTGAACGTTTTTGACTACATTTCCTAAGCGTGATGTTATAACTATTTTTCCATCAACTGTTGGATGGACGCCATTCCCAATTTTTAAAAGAGTTTCGGCAAAAATACCTGCAGAACTGTCTCCTTTTAAGTGCACTCGCATATTTTTCATGAGCGCTAGTTTGTTTATCTGTGGCCATAAAAATGAAGATTTTAAACAGGCCTTTATTTCGTCAGCTTTTGTACCTCTTGGAACAACAGGAAGGGTTTGGCGAAAGTCTCCAGCTAGCAGGACTGTAATACCACCCACCAACATAGTATTCTCATTATTATCTTGCAGGGTTCTATTTATGGCTTCAAGCCAACCTTTATGTGACATTGTGCACTCATCCCAAACAATTAACTTACAATCTTTAAACACCGCAGCCATATTACATTGCTTTGAAATAGAGCAATGAGGTGTTTCTAAATTAACTAAATCCAAAGGAAGTTTAAATGTAGAATGAGCAGTTCGACCTCCATTGAGCAGGGTAGCAGCTATACCGGAAGATACTACAGCTAGGGCTATTTTTTTTTAACTTCTAACTTTTGCCAACAATAAGTTTGTCAAGAAGGTTTTACCTGTCCCTCCAGGTGCATCCAAAAAAAATATTTCACCCATCTCAGCCCCAACGCTTTGTAAAATTTTATTGTATACGACTTTTTGCTCGCTTAATATTAGTTTGGAGTTAGGAAATTGGGTTGTCAGGACTTTCTTATTTCTTATTTGCGCGTTTTTTGAAAACCTTTGTGTTAACAACCTTTGTAGAAAATCCTTCAAGAGAGAGAATCAGAAGGATACTGGCAGAGCTATATAATAAATGAAAGTGATCCAAGTAAAAGTCGTGAGCTTGTATACTTTTTATCAGTTACAATGCTATCAATGCAATTTTAATTTGCGCACAAATATGTTTGTAAATGGGAATTTGTTATTTTCAAATTTCTTGTTTTGAATGAAACGAAAACCTTTGGTACACACAGTAAAAGATTGGCATCCAATACAAAAACAGCAAAGTAACGTATTATTTTCAGATTCCACATTTGATCGATAAACGGGTATAATAAATCATTTTATTTGTATTTAAGCACATTATCTACTTTCGAATAGAAACATACACACACATTGTATGTATGTACATGTATTGTACATATAAGCAAATCAAAACATATCCAAATATACATATGTACATACGTATTTGGTCAAAAGTTCGAATCTTAAGATTAATATTTAACTTGGAAACATTTTGGCTTTGCTTACAGAATTTGTAGTAATTTTCTATTTTCTTCCATGGTGGAAATTAAATAAGGCTCTTACTTCTGCTACAAAATGAAAAATAAAACCTAAGCATTTGATCCACAGGACTGCCTATTAATCGAAAATCATATTGATCGGAGCAGCAGTTTAAGTTTTTAAAATCCTAAACAAATTTAACTTAAATTGCTTCTTTCCCCTCCCCTTTCCCTGCAGCACTACCCCTCCCCCTCATCAGTTTTCTTGGCTGTTGCTCTCTCGGCCGTCGCTCTCTTGGCTTCTGGGTTTCGTTCTCTCGACAGGCTCCCGCAAAATACAACGCAATGACTTAGAAAATCTAAATAAATTCGTTAAAAATACTTAAAAAAATGTTAAAAACTTGAAAAATTAAACTTAAGCATTTGGGCCATAGAATAACTATTGAGCGAAAAATCATCTTGATCGGAGCAGCGGTTTAGATTTTTTAAATCGAAAAGTTAATTTTAAATGTAGCCCCCAAATTATGGGGGATATCAAAATTTCTTTTAGATTTCTAATTAGGCCTTTTCAAAACCTAAAATTCGGAAAAAACCAAATATCGAAATTCCAACCGGTTTAGAAGTTAAGCTTAAATACATCAACTTTTTTTGCTCAGAATAATGGATGTTGGAGCTGTTTGGGGCCACTGGGGGGACATATCGGATCTTAGTGGGCGCCCACGCCCCCAATGGAATACTGTGAAAAAATTTGGCTGCTCTTGCTCTTACGGTTTGGGCTGTGGCCGTATCCCCTTAAAAATCGGTCTTTCATTTTATAATCTTTAGGGATATGTATATGCCCTTGAAATGGTCCGGCAGCCCTAAATTCATCTTTTAGTTTAATTCAGGGGCCATCTCTATCCGATAGTATCGATTAAGAATCGATTTTGCCTCTGTACAACAGTGGCAAAGAAGCATCGAATTTTGTTTCAGCACTATGCTATCGATTCTAAGTCGATACTATCGAATAGAGTCTATACCATTGCTGCCCGAGTTTGCCCTCAATTAAAAATAAAATTACAAAATTTCACTGTTCCGTTCGTAAAACGCAGCGCATCGCCCAGGCGTTCAAATTTACATACAACACAAGTGGTAGTATCGTTGTGAAACATGTCAACACCCGCACGCAGACGTCTTATGAGAGATTTTAAAAGGTGAGAAACGAAAAAAAAAGAAAACGAAGCAAAAGGAAAGGAAAGTAAAGGAAAAGAAAGCAGGAAAATAAGCAGGAGAAGTTAATCGCGAACTACACTCGTCGAATTTGGCGGATTCGTGTTTCGTGGTGCGAAAAAATGTTGGAGAAAAGAAACCTGGGGGCTGCCCAATACATATAAGCAAACACACGGGCGCACATACATATGTGTGCTCTACGTCTGTATGTAGAGGAAAAGTTTGCGCAGCCAAAATATGTACGTGTGCATGTGACTGTGTGAGTGGTTGATTATTTTCGATGCTTTTTGCTCTTGCTTAAAACAAAAACAACAACAGCAATTCGCTTGTCTTTGACACTTGACTTTGATGTGTGTGTGCGGTGCGGGGGAAAAGCGAGAAAACAAAGGAGAAAATTGGGAAAACCAAACAAAAATTCTTCTTCCGTCTTTTGCCGAAATTGCGTCGCAGCAAAACATTAACAATTGTTTTTTTGAATCGCCTGAGTCAGCAGCTGCCCTTGTTGACTCACGCGAAAGAGACAAAGTACTCCAATTGGAATATATTTTCGATTTCGAAAAATTCATCATCTCCGAAAAATTTGAAAGCTGGCGCGAGATTGCGAATTGCTCTTGGGCAATACGAAACCGAATGTCAAGGCTGTTTGCGTGGGCGGGATTTCTTGCAACAATGCAAGGTACCACCCTGAGAACCAACAACAACTAAAAGCTTATCCCACACAGGGAAAAACTAAGACATACATTGCACTTATTTTCACAAAAATTGATTACACAAATGGACACAATGATTTCGTCAGATCAATATCGTATTTGCAATTGTATAATTGAGCCGTCATTTGTCTACCCCTGTAGTCCTCCGAAACTACTTGAGAATTGATTTTATATTTCTGAAGGCATAATAAAAAACATTAGACATTCCTGCTCTTCCGATTTCATAATAAGGGAGAATTTATGTGGGATTCAATTGCAACTACGTTTCATTTTAAATGTTTCGGAATACTCACAAAAAATCTTCTTTAAGAGATGACATAACATTAGTTTTTAAACGCAACCTTCAAATACCATAGTAACCGAAGAATATTTATTTAAAAAAACTTACAAAATCGTAGAAAACATCCATGTTGTTGATGTAGTTTCTTATTTAATCTAGATAATTATACAAATGGTTTTCTGATTTAAGTATTGTAATACTTGTTCCCCTGTGCACTCGTTTTGTTTTTTGTTTAATCGATGATTTCATTTGGCCTGTGTATCGATTTAAGCCGATTGAAGGGCGCGGTTAAACGGGTTACGCCGTCCGCTTGTTGCTTTTTGTTGACCTAAATACTCAGCCAATCCCGTCTAGTTAACTGCAAAGATTGTGTTTTCGGTACTCTTTGCCTGGGGATTTTTTTTGAGCTTTTTTTTGTCTGCAGAAAATGTAAACAATATTTTCACGGCGACAGTGCCTTTTATAGCCAGTTTTTTGTGCCTTAAGTAGATAAAAACAGCTGATTTTGTCCGGCTTATCAAACGATAGCCTCCTAAAAATATGACAAATTCGTCATAACTTTCATAACTCATAGTAACCACGATAAAATAATTGAGGAACAAATATATTTCCTCCTGTATTGCGGAATTGTCTTCAAATTTGCAACCTTCCCGGTGGTTACAACGTAAGCCCCCTTATAACAGAAAGGAGACTACCGGGAATGTTTCAATAAGACGCTTAATGTTGTTAATAGTCCTCTTGCGATCCTGGTCAGAAATATTATTACATAGGTCGAGGATATTTCTTTATGATGTATTATCAACTCCTGAAAAAAAATGTTGACGCAACGGACGCCCAAAAACTATATTTTTCTAGCTTAATAATAAATATAAAAATGGTAGTCACTTAAGCAACACTTCAAATAGACAGGGTACGCTTTGATTATTTAGTGAGATTATTGTATTAGGTTCTTAAGACCACTGTACTTTAATATTAACTTAACTTTTAACTTATTGCAGACTTCAGGAGGATCCACCCACGGGTGTCTCGGGTGCGCCAACAGATAATAATATTATGATATGGAATGCTGTGATTTTTGGTCCACACGATACACCATTCGAGGACGGAACCTTTAAGTTAACCATAGAATTTACGGAAGAGTACCCAAACAAACCGCCAACAGTTCGATTCGTATCGAAAGTATTTCATCCCAATGTGTACGCAGATGGTGGAATATGCTTGGACATATTGCAGAACCGCTGGAGTCCCACATACGATGTGTCAGCCATACTAACATCCATACAGGTGAGTTGTATTTCGAGTGGCCCTCGAAACTCTTCTAACTTTGGTTTGTGTTCCCTAGTCACTGCTGAGCGATCCCAATCCCAACTCACCGGCTAACTCCACCGCCGCCCAGCTGTATAAAGAAAATCGCCGAGAGTACGAGAAGCGTGTGAAAGCCTGCGTGGAGCAGAGTTTCATCGATTAGCCATGCGCCCACTCTAGGAACAGCAGCAGCATCAGAAGCAGGAACCACAACAGGAGCAGCAGCAAAATCGAGGGCGGCCGCGGCTTAAAACAACAGCAAACTACAGCAACAAAAATATGCAATACCATAAAGAAGTTTAAATTAAATAATAACAGAAATATTTATGATAATTGTAATGCTATGAAATTGTAACAGCGCCAACGGCACGGCACAGCAGCATATATACACCCTCAACCGCTCACCGCTCATACACCTGCGCACACCACCCGCATCCTATAAGCACTGGGCAGTTTTAAGTTATTTTTGTTTGGCCGATAGTTCCACCTTGTCCTTAACCCGATCCCGAAATCAGACGCAGATCATTGAAAAACACCAGAAAATCCATTGTAGCAGGAGCCGCTAGATAAGCCGGCAGCCAGATATAAGACTCTCATAAGCTAACAACTCAAATGTTATGATTCAAATAGCAGCGGCAAAAAATTAATAATAATAAAAAAATTATAAAAACCATGTCAAACAATTGCAAAACCCAAATAGTTTCATTTTAGATGTGCGCAAAGCAAGTCTTGTAAAACTAAAATAATTCTGCAACTAAAAAACCAAAATCTAACCAGCAATTTATATATGTAGTAGTTCGTGTCGTAGCAAATACCCCACAGTTAATTTGCCATTTTAAGCTGCCTGAGAACTACATTGTAGTCCAGTGACATCAATGATATCTATCGGAACCCCCACATACACATACACATGCTACCTAGATCGATTCATAAGTTTATTGGCTACAAATTGTGAAATTACTAGAAATTGAGAATTAAATGTTAGTTGTTAGCAATGTAAACCAATCCACATGGTACGTGAGAACAAGTCTCCAATTTGGGAATGAGCAGGCAATTATATATGTATGTATACCTCTGTAGCATCCAGTGACCAATGCGCTAAGTATTTTGCACGACTATTTCGTTGCCAGACCCACAACCCACACACTATTTGTAAGATCTGGTCCCTGATCTGATTCAAGTTATACTCTGATTTGGTGTGCTACCATGGCCCCCACAATGCGCGGGATCTTTCTTTAGTGTATAGTTGGATGGAAACACCTCATAAACTGCCATTTGCCACGCTATGTACTCTCTAGGTTCCACTGTGTCTTGGCTGCGGCAATTGATTTAGTTAGTTTTTAAGCGTTTACAATCGAGTCTTAATCTTGTGTTTTGTTGAATGCGAATTGCTGTTCCTTTTGCTATGAACCCTCCACTTTTTGGCACTTTGTGTTGAACGGATCGCGAAGATGACGGATGCGATGATGATGCTCTGAGCATCATGTTAACCTCATATATGAAAAACCTACCATATAGCAGCTTATTGTTTTAACAATTATGAACCAACTAAAGCAGAGGAAGCAAGTAATCCCAACTCAATTCACAGTAAAAGTAAAGCAAAGAATGAGGATTAAGGCAACCCATTCGAATAATGTGGAATTTCAAATTACCTTACTGTAATTAACATTATTATTATTAATAAAGTTTAAGATTTCAAATATCAATAAATGAAAATAACACAACTTCGCCATTGTTAATGTATTTCTATACCCTTGCAGAGGGTATTATAATTTTGGTCAAAAGTGTGCAACGCAGTGAAGGAAACATCTCCGACCCTATAAAGTATATATATTCTTGATCAGGATCACCTCCTGAGTTGATATAGCCATGTCCGTCTGTCCGTCTGTCTGTTTCTACGCAAACTAGTCTCTCAGTTTTAAAGATATCGAATTGAAACTTTGCACACACCCTTCTTTCCTTTGCACGCAGTATATATGTCGGAACGGCCGGGATCGGCCGACTATATCCTATAGCTGCCATATAACTGATTGATCGGAGATGCCATAACTTTGGTGTTTGTAAAGTTAGGAAGCTGGGATTCCCTATAGGTTTTATATTTGGCCAATCAATCCGACATACCAAATTTCATAAGGATCGGCCGACTATATCCTATAGCTGCCATATAACTGATTGATCGGAAATGTCATAACTTTGGTGTTTGTAAAGTTAGGAAGTTGGGATTTTCTATGGGTTTTATATTTGGCCAATCAATCTGACCTACCAAATGTCATAAGGATCGGCCGACTATATCCTATAGCTGCCATATAACTGAACAATTTTAAATGCCATAACTTTGGTGTTTTTAAAGTTAGGAAGTTGGGATTTTTTGTGAGTATTAAGAATGCATCATATGAATAATTTTGGAGAATATAATTTACAGAGTATTCTGCAAGGGTATATCAACTTCGGCTCCGCTCGAAGTTAGCTTTCCTTTCTTGTTTTATTAAAAAAATTTTTTTTGAATGCACAATTTCCTGAGAATATTGTGTTAAAATTTTAGATCCATCCGAGTAAAACTTCCGAAGTTATGGGCAGTTGAACGTTAGCTCGTTTTGTATTCGATTTTAAAAAAACTTTAAACACTCTCCTGAAAAGTGGCTATTTCAAAGTCGGTGTACACGATCCTGCCAAATCTATCGGACGAATCGTTTTGAGATTTTACACAGTACTTCTCTACTAAATTCCTCAGGTAACGCTGTCGAGTTTTTTATACCGTTGCAGGGGGTATTATAATTTCATTCAAAAGTTTGCAACGCAGTGAAGGAAACATTTCCGACCCTATAAAGTATATATATTCTTGATCAGCATCACCAGGAGACTCGATCTAGCCATGTACGTCTGTCCGTCCGTCCGTCCGTCCGTTTCTACGCAAACTAGTCCCTCAGTTTTAAAGCTATCTGCTTGAAATTTTCCCAAAAGGTGTCTTTCTATTGCAGGTAGTATATAAGTCGGAACGAGCCGGATCGGGCGACTATATCATATAGCTGCCATATAACTGAACGATTGAAAATGCCATAACTTTGGTGTTTTTAAAGTTAGGTGGTTGAGATTTTTTATATGTTTTATTTTTGGCCAACCAATATAATTTACAGAATATTCTGCAAGGGTCTTCGGTTTCGCCCGAAGTTAGCTTTCCTTGCTTGTTTTTTTTTTTAATTTATTATTTTTAAAGCAACAAATATGTCGAGGTTTTGGACGAAAATCGGGGTTTTTGACATTCAAGTGTCTTAAAAAATCGAAAAAAAAATGATGATTCTGTGACCAGTTATCGTGTTCACCGCAAAACGTGTTTTGTTCGAGGCGCCGCCGGAGATTGCCTGTATCTCACTTAATTTTTAATATTTTTGGATGAAAATTCACACATGTTGTTTAAATGTTGCCCTATCACATGCAAAAACCAAAATTGAGTTGACACTATCCGTATCGCCAATAAAAGTTCTTTAAAAATGACTGATTTTGCACCGAATTAACTGTACCCCCCCATAAATTATGCCTGTAGTATAAAGATACTTTCTGTCATTGAGACACACATACGATCCCATAAAATAACTTTCAAAACTGGTGCCGGGATAATTTACTACAGTAAAACGACTCTATGTGCAACCTTATAACTTTTTATCAAGCCAATTTTAAATATGCGACTCATACGATGATAACGATCTTATTGTCCTTTCACTAATACTATATTTATTTCGCTAGTCCGTCCGATTCTGCAGTCTGAAATCCACTATTCAGCCTACGTCTTGACCTTTGCACTTTTTGCATTACAGCGCCTTATCTCACATTTTCATTCTACCAGACCTCTATTAATTAATTAGCCTAGCCAACCATAAAAAGGGTGTTTGGTATTGTTTTCATTTATAACCTTATTCGTTGTCAGAGGGCTATCAACTCGTCTTGGTGCCGCCAATAAAACTTACTTACTTCATTGGGACAAATTTAGATCCCCGGACTTGTATCTCTACTTTCATATCTCGCAAAACGTGCCGTACGATACACGGCTGAGTTCCTCGGTCAGTTGGGCGGTTGGTTGTCCGAGTGACTCCGGGTGAAAAAAAGTTGCCTCAGTGGGGCAGTGGCACAACACTGCCCTTCATACACGAATTTCAAAAAGTCCGGCATTCAAACTTCAAAGCTGTCAAAGGAATTATTTTGCTTCTTATGTTCATATGTTATGTTATGAAATACACCATCGAAACATCAAATTGATGCTATAATAAAATGCTATGTATTTCGGCGCAATCCTGTAAAATCCATAAAACATGGCTTGACAAAAAAAAAAAAAAAAACGTTGATTTTAAAAGATCAAAAATGTATCTTCTCGCAGTGAGCTCGTCCAAACTGTTTCCAACCCTACTGCGCAAGTGTTTTATCGGGGTGAGTTTTTATTCATAATAATATATGATTCCCAACCAGTTCTAGCGGCGAGCTCATCTCAACCCCGAGTCCGAGCTGAGCAAAGCATACTTACCTGGCGTAGAGGTTAACCGTGATCACGAAGGCGGTTCCTCCGGAGTGAGGCTTGGCCATTGCACCTCGGCTGAGTTGACCTCTGCGATTATTCCTAATGTGAATAACTCGTGCGTGTAATTTTTGGTAGCCGGGAATGGCGTTCGCGCCGTCCCGACATAAGAAATAAATATGATAAGCAAAAGAAGAGTATAAAAAACTATGATACAACTAAAATTAGTATATTGTGCGTACTGTAAAATGATTCAACACCACAAAATTCATCACTGGTTACGATTAATATATGAATTTCCATATATTAAAATAGTGATTTATTACTATATTAGCAAAATTAGATCTTACTTTTGTTAGTCAGTGCAAAAATCATCGGCTTTTAACAAGTAGATTATCAACCATTATAATCAGTAAATAATAAACTTATTTCGTCAGCAATATTTTTATCAATAATTTAGTGAGTAATCACCCAATTTTCTTAAAATGTTCATTATATTTTTATTTTATTATATTTTTAAACATTATTCTAAACCTTTTTTTAATCTACGGTTTCAGGGTTCAGAAGTTTTAGGGACTTGAAAGTCTCAGTGCTCGTTAGCACCTTCTTTTTAGCGGCGTGTTTTTAACACATCTTATGGCCTTGTTGAGAGCTTTTCTGTTGCCTCAATATGCTTATCTGAAAATTATAATAAAATAATTTACTAAGTAGAGCGCGTAAAAAGGTTTGGTATTTTCCAAGGGGTTCCTTGTTTTGGCCGGCGATAGCTGTAATTCATAATAATATATTGTATATATATATTCATACAATATATTATTTATCGACCGGCTTAATTTATGTTAGTTTTACTATAAGCTTAACATGAAAATATGAATAAATTTATTATCAGTATTGGTACAGTTTAAGCGATATTTTTTATACTTCAGGGGAAGTTTTATTTTTCAGCCTATGAAAGTGGCTTAAAAAAGTTGTCTTATTATCCTCTCAAAATGTTTGTTTTAAAATAAATGTATTCGCTTAAATAAATTTGTTTTAAACAAGTTTTAAACAGTTGCAAGTTACACTCCTTAAATACATAAAACGTTTTAATGTTATACAGATGCTTAACACTTGTTAATAAATAACACCCAGTTTTAAAGCTTGAAACTTTCCCAAAAGTTGTCTTTCTATTGCAGGTAGTATATATA